ACATTTGTTTATTTTGGGGAATGAGCCATTAAAGAAGGACAAATCGATGCAGGAGAGGGGGACAATTCCTGGACCTATGTCTTTGAGTAGGAAAGAAGGGATGGGATCCAGTACAAGGTAAGTATGCCACACAGGATCTTTCAGGCATTTGCTTCATTCTGTCTTCCATCTGGCTGGAAGGCCCTCAGTTCCCTTCGTCCGTCAGCACTACTACCACTACTCCACCTGCCAAAGCCATGTTCATCCTTCAAAAGCACAACACATTACATATCCTTCATGAGGCCATCCTCAAATTCCTCAGACATAATTGATTTCTTTCCCTTGTGTGTCCATGGCATGTTGTTTGTACTTTTCTTACATCACTTCCATGGACTGCCTACTACTTAATTAATCTTTCTCCTTGATTAGCGTATCCCTTGAAGGCTTCTGTTCCCTGATTTCTAATGTCATTCAAATACTATAAGAGACAAATTAGTTAATAGATATTACTGGCTCTTAGAAGGTACTCAACAAATATTTGTTGAATGAATGTACTGTATGGTTATTGGGAGTTATTCTTTCCCTTGTTTGATGAGGTTGGCTCAGGTTTGGAGGCATGGTGCCAGTCACCACTCCTGAGCTACTGAATGTGTTTACTTTGCATGCAACTATGGCTTTGCACTAGTAGGTACTCTGTATTTGTCTGAATTCTATTAAAAATATGTTCTTATCTCCTAAGCAACACTGTATGTAACTATGGATCTCTAAAATGCTTTATAGGTAGTAAAGTTCAGTAAATATTTGTGAGTTGATTAATAACCTTCTCCCTCTGGTCTTACCCTTTCCAAGCTATGATAAACTGGTGCTTATAAGCAAATTCTAACCAGGAATCACCCTCTATCCTACTTTATAAAAATTAACCCTAGAGAATCAGTTTGAGAATCAAATTATCTCTTGAGAATCAATCATTTCTCAAGAATAAGAGAATAAATAACCAGTGCTTTCTCAAGAATAATTCTTAAGAATAAATAAAACAGAATAAATGCTTGCTTGCTTGCTTGATTTCTGGCTAGATCAGTGCCTTTGGGCTAGAAAATGCTAAGTTAGGTGCTGGCTTTAACACACAGAGCTAAAAAGAACATCTAATTTGGAGCCCAGCCTGAGTCAAATCCAGGTTCTACCATTTGGGCAAGTTACTTTATCTCAGTAAACCTCTCTGAAGTTATAATTTTCTTTCCTGAAAATATAGAGATTATTATGCCCACTTAATAGATTTGTTTTGAAGGTCATGGGGTATGTGTGCAAAGTGCCCAGCCCAGCATCTAGAAAATTAGGTACTCAATAAGTGTTAACTGCTGTTACTCCCCTTTCTCAGTTTACGCTGGGCTGCTGCTAACCTTTTTTTAGAACTATAGAGAAAGTGGATGGGCTAGCTGCTGTAGCACAGGATATGTGCTTCTCAGAGAGAGGTTTTGAGCAATGGCTTCTTTCCCCTGCCCCTCCGGTCTGTCTACCGTGAGCTCCCACTTCTGGGTCATTACCCTTTACCTTATGCTCCTCTTCCCCAGAATGTAGTCAAGGGACCAGAAGCTATAGCTTCACCTCTGACTTTCCAAATTCACCTCTACTCCAACTCCCAACTTTCCTCTTGAACTACAACATATGAAGTAATTTTTGTTCTCTAGCTCAAGGTTAGAGACAAAATGAAAATGATGCCACCTGCTGGAGAACTAGATTTTCTTTATTCGGGTTGCAAAAGAGCTTTTACATCAAGATTGAGGTCTAGAAAGCCATCTCCCCGAGTCCTCCTTGCTACGTAGAGTCAACATTCTAGCTTGCCAGGGTTCTCTAGTGATTTGCTTTTCTCTTTCCTCCTTCTGAGCCTGTATCATTGAGAAAGTGGAAATAACGCCAAACTCTGAGTTAGAAAGTGTAACATTCTTGTCTTGTCTTTGGTCACTTCTTTGAGTTGCAGTTTTCACCTCTGTAAAATAGCAATAATAATTCCTGACTTCTGACCTTACCAGATTATTATTACAAGATACGAGATACAGAAAGTTTGATAAACTAAAGTGCTATTTGTTTGTAAGGAAGTATTATTACTTTCCTTTCTCATTTATGTATCCAGGCTGGGCCAGTCTTGGGGGAATTGGTGCCAGACTCTGCATCTGCTTGTTTACTTTCCCAGGACTCTGTCCTACCTAAGGGGCAGAGACTGGTGAGGCTGCCAAGCCCATGTAGCCTGTGATTGACTTCCATTATCTTGCCATCTAGGAAATTGCAACACCATAAGCCAAACCATGGATTTGCCGACTTTCAACTTCTCCCCGCCATGGTTCCTACAGCTTGATAACTTGGGCCTGGGAAGCTTCCCCTCTCTCTATACTCCACTGGAGACTCCAAGAAAGAATTTTGGTTTAATCTTCTCTCAGAACTTTGACTCATCTGCTGTAGATACTTGGCCAGATTGTCAGACATTCTGGGAGTTCTCTGAAATAAGAGAATAATACAACACTTCTAGCTACCACTGAGTTCCTACCATGTATCAGGCACTATAGTTAGTACTTACCATGTTTAGTCCTCATAGCATCCTTTGAAGTAGGTATTATTTGTAATTTACTGAAAAGAAAACTATGGTTCAAAAAAGTTAAGTCTTGGGACTTCCCTGGCGGTCCAGTGGTTAAGACTCTGTGCTTCCAATACAGGGGGTGCCGGTTTGATCCCTGGTTGGACAAGTAAGATCCCACATGCCACCCGGTGCGGGCCAAAAAAGAAAAAAAAAAAGTTAGGTCTTTTGTTCTAAATCACATAGTTAGTAAGTAGCAGAGTTGGAATTTGAACTTAATTCTTTTTTTTTTTAATTTTTAAAATTTATTTTTGGCTGCATTGGGTCTTTGGTGCTGCGTGTGGGGCTTTCTCTAGTTGTGGCGAGCGGGGGCTACTCTTCATTGCGGTGCATGAGCTACTCATTGGGGTGGCTTCTCTTGTTGCAGAGCACAGGCTCTAGGTGCACGGGCTTCAGTAGTTGTGGCACATGGGCTCAGTAGTTGTGGCTCGTGGGCTCTAGAGCACAGGTTCAATAGTTGCGGCGCATGGGCTTAGCTGCTCCGCGGCATGTGGGATCTTCCTGGACCAGGGATCGAACCCATGTCCCCTGCATTGGCAGGCAGATTCTTAGCCACTGTGCCACCAGGGAAGTCCCTGAACTTAATTCTATCTTATTCCAAAACTCTTGTTCTGACCACCATATACCATGAGGCCTCCCATCACTATACAGGAAGAGGGGCCATGTGCAATCAAGGAAAACTCAGGAGATTTCCAGTCGTATGATCTACATGCAGATCCCAACCCTGCCTGTGTGATCTGGGGCAAGTGGTTTTCAGCTTCTCCAGCCACAGATACTATCTCTTCACCACCATGTGACATAGGTGCTATTCTTATCTCTGTTTTACATTTGAGGAGACTAGGCCTCAGTGAGGTGAAATGACTTGCCCAGGGTTACAGAAGAGTAATAGTTAAGTGGCAGAGCCAGAACTCAAGTCTGGGTCTAACACCTGGTTCTGTGTTTTGTCCACCATTTCTCACAGCCAGCTCCCAAGACCTAGTCTGTAAGGCAGACTTACAGTCTCCGGATGCTGGATGGAAGCCTAGTAGGAGGAGCAGGAGCCTTGCCCTCTTCTACTCTCACTTTCGCCTCCCCTAGTCTCTCCTTCTTAGAAACCTTACCGAGGCAATATACACATTTGCAATTCAATGAAAAGGTTTATTCAGAGCTTACAGACTGCTCCAAGTACCCTACAGAAGCCTGGGGGTCCGGGTCTCAGCCTTTGTGTGCGTTTGTGCTGTTAATTTGGTGGCCTAGTGTGGTGGGAAGTGTTGAGAAAGTTCTTTCTGAGCTTTTTTCTTTATCAGTATGCTCTTGTGAGGTTGGTTGCGAAAGTTAGAGATGGTAAATATCCAAGGGCAGCAGGTGGGGCCTTATTAATTGATGGCGGTTATTTTCCCTGGCAGCAGGGTCTAATAGAAACCAGACTGGGAGTCAGGAGTCCTAAATCCATTACTCTCATATTCTTGGGCATGTGAAGCACTGTCTCTAGTCAGACTAGGTGATCTCTCAGGACTCCTTTCAGCTTTAGTATCTGTGCTTTTTAAAAATGAAAGTAATAGGGAATTCTCTGGCGGTCCAGTGGTTAGGACCCAACGCTTTCACTGCCACGGCCCGGGTTCAATCCCTGGTCGGGGAACTAAGATCCCGCAATCCGTGTGGCACAGCTGAAAAAAGAGAAAGAAAGTAATAAATGCTTGTTTAAAAAAAAATGAAACAGGACAGCGGAAGACCTCAGCTTCCCTGTGTGCAGTTCATTCCTGAGGTAACACTTGTGACTGTTTGTGTCCTTTCCATTGTTTTCTGTGTATTTTAAATATATACAGGTATGTTAAATACACATATTATATTGTGATTTAATGTACTAAATATTATAATTTATATATGTAAATATATATAATACATATGGTATGCATGTATATGTGTGTGTGTGTATAAACATACACACATATATTGTTACATACCTTGGAACCTAGAATACATACTGCGTTATGACTTGATCCTTTTTCGCTCATTTTGAGCACTTTTTCTTGTTAGTACTTAAAGATATAATTTGTTTTTTTAATTAATGTTTTTTTTAAATTATTTATTTTATTTATTTTTGGCTGCATTGTGTCCCCGTTGCTGCGCGCGGGCTTTCTCCAGCTGCGGCTCGTGGGCTGTAGGCACGCGGGTTTCAGTAGTTGTGGTGCACGGGCTTCGTTGCTCCGCGGCATGTGGGATCTTCCCGGACCAGGGCTTGAACCCGTGTCCCCTGCATTGGCAGGCAGATTCCCAACCACTGGCGCCACCAGGGAGGCCCTAATTAATGTTTTTTAATCTATTAAGTTATCCCCTAGTGATTACAGGCCATGATTTTTTAAAGCAAATATACACATACAATGTTGTTTTTATTTTATTCATTTATTTTTTTTAGGAAAAGAAGAAAAAGAAACATAGAGACAGGAAGTCATCTGACTCTGACAGCTCAGACTCTGAGAGTGATACAGGCAAGAGAGCAAGGCACGCGTCAAAAGACAGCAGGGCAGCGAAGAAGAAGAAGAAGAAGAAGAAGCACAAGAGGAAGCGCAAGGCGTGAGGGGCGTGGAGAGAAGGGACCAGGAGCCTTGCGCCTTGAAGCGCTGGCTCCTGGGAAGACTCAGTGGTGAGAATATGGCCTCCCACCCCATTGACTTCTCTCCCATGGGAGATGGCTTCCCCTCCTGCCACAGGCAGGTTTGGGAGATATCAAAAGTATCTGCCTGAATGAGTTGTTTTCTTATCACTCCAGTCCCTTTGCAAGTGACCCCTGCAGCTGACCCATTCATCCACCCAACTTCCTTCCTTCATTCAGCAGAAGGTCCTGTTACCCTCTTCCAGCTGCCACTGCCAGAGCCAGAGTCCAGGCTAGAGCCACAGGTACTGGCTGTAGTTGGAGAACAGAGTGATTGGCCCCTCCCTGTTGGCCTTCATTGGGCTGATTGGTGGGTGATCTCTGCTGCATCCAACACAGGGGCAGATGGAGACTGGCAGTACTAGGGAGAACATGGTAAGAAGTGGTGCTCACTTTTTCCATTCCCCCTAACATGATTCTGCTGTGTTAGAAGTGACAGCCAGTGGTCACAGCCAGAAAACCATTGTTTGCAGTGACTGAGCTTGTGTGTGACGTTCCGCCCGATCACTGAACCAGACAGTTCAAGCCAAGATCATTGCTTTACTTTTACTACAATGTGAATCAGTTGGTTCCATTTCAGGTCTCTGCTTAAATTCCTGGCCCTAAATGGAAGTGTGCTTGGTTTTAAACTTACTGAAGAGTCCTTATTGGTATAATCCCTCTTCCTGTAACTTACAGACTTAAAAGTCACTGAGGCTGCATTAGGTGACAGAAAAACATTTAACAGGTTACCTTAGACTTTGGAGAGCGGCCCAGCTAAGGTACAGCGCCAGAGGCACTAGCAAGTCACAGCCTTCTTAGATCACTTATAAGCCCTCACTTCTGTAATGATCAGATGACCTCTCCCCCAGGGCTGATTAGAGAACCAGTAAGAATTTGAACCATGGGTAATGGCCTAGCACATAGGCAGATGCTCAGCAGTCCTCTTCACCAGTGGGCATCTTCTCCCACTACCACTGGCACAAGCCTGGATCCTGTGTCCTAAGCCTGTGTTCTGGAAAGAGAGAGACCACAGCATTCCACAGAGAAGAGCAACTGTCCAGACCCAAAGGCATTCAGTGCAGGATGGACCTGAGGTGACAGTTCAGAAGCCCCACCACTGGGTGATTATTCCAGGTTGGACTAGCTCATTTGGCCGTAGGGAGGGGGCGGTGTAAAGGGAAGTTGTAGGTACAGCTGTTTTATTTTTTGTACGTGTAAGGTGATCAGCTGTCACTGTCCCTGAGACTGTCCATTGCAGTCTCATCCAGTGCTTACCTTCCTGAGTGGCAGTCGTTTCTGCCTACTCTCTGACACACAGAAACTGAGACTCCCAGAATCATGTCACCAAAAGCAAAAAGGCAACTGGGTGGCCTAGGTGCTGCTTTATTGACCTCAGAGCACCCTTTGGGTGCAGTTAAAAAAACAAACATACACAATGACAGCAGAACTGGATCCAGGCTGGAGCCACCTGACCCCAGGAGAATTTCCCCAATCAAGGTGGATTTATACAAAATGCCAAAGGAAAAAAATGAGTCAATCTGGTGCTGAGTCCAGGAGTAGCCAACTGGCAGAGAAGCAGTTGTTGAGGGAGTGGGCAGGTCATGCCCCTTTCTCGTAAGTGCGAGTGCAAACTGCATTGCAGTGGGTGAGTGTCTGGGAAGAAAAGACAGAGTCAGGTTAGGGCAGGGGTGTGGACACAGAAGGTATTGGGAATACTCTCCACTCTGATGGGGAGAGCCCTCTACCTTCATGCTAAAAATTTTCATTTACTGCCTACCTACTATGTGCCAGGTACTTTACACGTATTTTTTCCTAGTGCTTACACCAAGTCTTCTTTATTTTTTTTTGGCCATGTCACGCGGTTTGTGGGATCTTAGTTCCCCAACCAGGGATTGAACCCGGGCCACAGCAGTGAAAGCACCAAGTCCTAACCACTGGACCATCAGGGAGTTCCCCCAAGTCTTTAAGTTAGGCATTGTAATTCCTCTTGTAGAGATTTGGGGAAATGAGCTTTCAGGGAGGAAGTATCTTGGTCAAGGTCCCAGAGTGTTTCTCTTTCCCTTGTACCACTCCTCTCCCTTCATCTTTAGTGCCTAAGATGGTGCCTGGCACATAGTAGACAAACAGGTGAATAAAAATGTCCAGAGGCTCTTGGGAAAGGACTTTACTAGGCCACCAACTCTCCATTCTTTCCCTAACTTAGGGTAGTGCCAGGGCCAGAGGCCTGAACCCCCAACATCCTGCCTGGCGTCACAGAGCCAGGCCCATGGTTTCACCACAGCTTAATTGCCCAGTGAGTATTTGGTCCCACCAGAGCTAGGCAACTCATTATTAACTCTGCAGGGTCCCCTGCCCCGTGTAAGTGCAAGAATGCAGTGACCAGGTTACACTGACCCAAGAAGGTCTGCAGTGGAGATGCTGAGGCGAAAACCTGAGGCCCTACAGAATAAGGAGGCAGAGATCACGGGTGGCTGCTGTCTCCACCCCTGGGGGTGTTCAGTCAAGGCTACATTCTTCAGGTGAAGTCCCCAGGTTTGTCCCTAAACAGACAGATCTGCCAGCTTGTTTGTCATTTCCAACCCAGGCCTTAGGTACTTGTAGTGGGCCAGGCATGGAAAGCTCTGAGAGGAGGCGAGCCTGGAATGAAGTAGAAATGACTGTGCTGTCAGTTGGGGCCCCACCGATCACCAGCCTGTCCCTGCCCAAAGGCTTGGGAGATGGGAGCCTCTCCTATGGGCCTGGAATCAGGTTTGGCCATGCTTTCTACCTCTCCCTGGGGCAAGGCAATGCGGCAATGCAGAGGATGAAACTAAGGCCATGGAGTGCGCCTACTGTAGTGGTCCCACACCAGTGATGCTCTGTGCTCTGCATCCACTGTCTCCTTCAGACTTCCCAGCAGCCCTACAAGGTTGGTGTTATTAACACCCACTTTACAGTTGGACTTGGAGAAGGTGACTTGTGCAAAGTCACGCACCCTATAAGCTGAGATTTAAACCAAGTCCAAAGCCACTACATAGAAAATTCCTACCTAATACCACCCAGGCCTGCCTCCACCCTCCATTGTTCCAGCTTCCATTGGTCCCACTGATGACCTTGGCTTTTCGCAATAGGCTTGGCTGAAGGGGCAGCAGAAACCAATTGGGTGAGGCTCCAGAGTTATCCATCTTACCAGGATGAGCTTCCCAGCAACTACCTCCCGCACAAGTGTTGTCTCTTGTCCGTTCCACTTCTGCACGTGGACGAGTTTGCCTCCATCCAGCGTCACAATGGACTGTGGAAAGAGGGTAGAGGCCTGAGCTGAGATCTGAGCTAGGATTGAGGGGCAGGAAGGGGTCTGGTCACTGGGGCCACATAGGACCCAGCCTCTAACCCAAACTATTGACAATGCTAGGATCAGAGATCCGGCAGCCCACCTCCAACCTAGCCCCATAGGATGTCTAGTTCACCACTGCTGCTTGGCTGGGGGAGGGGCCTTCAGCTGTTGGGCGAGTAGGGAGAGGCAGATAGTACAGTGGAGAGGAACAGCCTGGCTCTGAGAAGTGCCACCAGCCTTCAGGATGGGCACTTATCCCATACTCTAGGTGATGCCCACAGCCCAGTCTCACTAAGATACAGAGTTGAGGGACCAGCCTAATCCCTGTGAAAGACTGGTGAGGAGGAGTAATCCTGAGACTCTCCGGCCAAGTGGTGATCACACACAATGTCTAAAAGATCCTTGGGGATGGGAGGTATTGGAAAATTGGACCCTGCCCTGTATTCCTACTCCTCTTGGTCCATATCAAGTGACCCCCTTCAGCTGACGAGTGGGCAGCAACTGCCAGGTCCTGAGACTGCGGGCCCTTGGAGTGTTCCACAGCCCTGCTCAAATGTCCACTTAATCTTATGGGTGCTGCCAGCCTGCATCAGCTGGCTCTCATTTGGCAACTCTCCCAGGTCTCTCTTCTCTAGAAATTTGGGGGCTCTAAGCCAGGCTAGGGTACCCTGACTGACCAGGGTTCAGTAGAACAGTCTGCAAAGGCTGTGTGTATGTGCTTTGGGGCCAGTGGGTCGGAGGGTGTGCACCCTTACCACCACCTTCCTCCTCATTCTCATTCCCCTAGCTTTTTGTCCATTCGGAGCAGGTTATGTTTAGCCTAGGCATCCCAGAGAACTGCCGTTGTGTTTAACTGGGGTTCTTGCCCTTCAAGAAGGTAGGCTAGTTCAAGGAGGTAAAGGCATGTGGTAGGGCAGGCACCTCTCTCCAAGGTAGGCTGCCATCTTTGGGTACCATCCCATCTCTGCTGCCAGCTTCCTGTATGATCCTGGGCTGGGCTCCAGCTTCCTCCACTGGGAGGAGATTAGACCCTCTCCTCTCCTTGGGAGCAGCTGTGAGGAAGAAGAAACAGCTGAGGAGCTGAATGGAAAGGTCTGGTGGAAAGGTACTGCTATAGGTACACCCTGTTGAGGGCAAAACCCCTTAGTTCTCTCTCTTCCATGCCTGGCTCAGTGGCTGGAAGGCCTAAGGCAAGCTGCCAAGACAGCCACCACCGGGTGACAAGTCCTGAGACTGGGGGCAGATGTACTCTCCCTCCCCAGAAGGAGAGGGGCTAAGGCTTGCTGAGAGGACACTAAAAACACACCAAAGACAATGCTCTATCCAGAATGTAGCTTTTCCTGCCTGTAGGCTGGCAGCATTGGAAATGGTTTCTCCGGGTCACTGGCCAAGCCCTGGAGGTGGAGGCTGGAGAAGAGGAAGCATCTGAGGAGGTCTCAACCTCTTGTCCCCAGCTGTCTCCTCGGCTCCTGAAGGCCAGGATGACCTTTCAGTGGAGGACCTTGACTTCTGGGCATTGTTCCTAAAGCACCTGAGGTCACAGCCATGTCCGCATAACCCCCCATCTATGGAAGGGGAAAGAAAGCCAGAGCTGTTGCATGCCATACACAAGGTCACCCAGCTGGAGCTGGCGTAGACAGTGAGGTCAGACTATCCAGGCTCTGTGCTGCCCGCTCCCAGAGGCAACAGGTAGATGCTTCCCAAGATGGGAGGGAGAACAAGATAGGACTAACATGCATTTAGCACTTGGGACATCCCAGCACTGCACAGGCATTATGGACCTCATTTGCCACTTCAACCCCCCATGATAGCCTACCCCTCAACGTGCAATAATAGGGCGCCACCGTAATCCCCTTCAGGGCCTTCTATTCCCCATGGACCCTTCCTCGACTCACCTTGACCTTCCTGTCATCTGCTGTTGTC